TTATTGCAGTAGTGGATCATTTCCCACAAAATGATAGCATTTTGGACTTTATCAACCTAGTTATGTCCAATGAATTTTTCAAATCTTCTAAGAAAACCTTAGAACTTATTGCAGAAAAGAAAGCAAAAATAGATACAGAGTTCACAGAAACAGAAATTGAGCCAATATTGAAACCTATAGGAGAAGACCTTTACCAATTTGTGCAGGAGAATATTCCACCACAGAAAAAAGATTATACCATTCATATTGCAGATGTTAAGGTACCAAAAACTGGCCCTTTTAATACTAGCTATTATTCTGAACCTTTCATACAGTTTGGACACGAGTGGGTTGTGGACCTTCTGCCAGGTATGTTGCGTTTTATTAATTTTCTAATTGTCTAATCGGAAACAGATGATGAAGATGAATGTTTGGGCAATTCTACAGTATTTTTAACACTTAATTCCACAATTCCAGTAGAGAATAAGCAACAGGTATTTGATAGAATAAGACTCGACTTTTTTATTTGTAATTTTGATCTAGAACCTCAATCCTATCTTGTTCACAGCAGAAAATTCATTATGCCTGAAGCATCTTATGGAGTATTTCTTGATAAGACTCATATTGCCGCTTACTCAACAGATGATGATGATTTTCTCAAGTTTAAATTTGTGGTTGGGATGAAGAAAGTTGAGGAAGAACCATTCAAACCTTTCAACAATATTGAAATGTTCCATGTTGGAAGAAAGGAATTATCCTCAACTAATTATCCTCCTATTGTTCATAGATGGGCAGCAGAGTTTCCATTATCCATACATACTTTGACATTTCGTGTTAGTCCTGATAATATTGATAGATGTTGTTATTCAGATAAGTTCACAGCATTTGGGGCCAAGTTTTCAGCTTGTTTCGATCACTTGGGTGTTGCCAAAAGTAAGTAGTTTTATGAAATTAGTTACAAACACTGTATTTCTCTACGCGATAATTAACAGAGGTTAAGGATTTTAGAGAAAACTCATCAATATACCTATATCTATCTTCATTTGATTACAATGACAAAGAAAACGAATTGGAATCAATCAAAGTTAAAGCAATATTTGCAAATTCTGATTTCCACACAGAATCATTCTATGTTTTCAAAAATACATTTCAATCACTTACAAGTTCAGGAAGCACAATACAAAGAGCCTACTATCAACCCAAACTAACCCATGTAGATGGAAAGCCTTACTATGAATATGTTGTAAATTGTTGTCTTGCCTTAATGAGTAGAAAAACTTGTCATCCATTTGGATACAATAGAGAAGAGGAAGCAGAAGAGGAATAAGAGGAAGCAGGATGTTTGAATGAATAGATTTACAACCAAATCGTGATTGCAATGTTCCAAGTCCATAGTTATCGTTTCTCTGCCACAAGTTTTTTCTTTTTGCTTTCTCCTTCATTATGTTATTTCTAAATCCAAGATATGATGGGAAATTTTCAATTTTTAAAGATGAATTTGATAGAACAATATTTGGAAATTAAATTGGAAAAGGTAAAAGGACATGTTGATGAATTAGCCAAAAAGGGTTCGAAACAATATAATATTGCCATTGATATTAGAAATCTTCCTAATGCCTGAAATGAGTGAAACTTCTTGAATAAGTACAATGAAATAGAGCAATATTACATGATAGAATGAATTTAGGTTTGCAAATAGATGGAAAGAATTCTTGGTCAAGGATTATTAGACGAGAACAATCAAGAAGAAATTATTAGAAATATTTTTTTACAATTTAAAATCAATTTAAATATTCATTTCTCATAAATGTACTAATAATTAAGGAGCAAACTTGAAGGATGAAAAATACATCAAAGACTCGTGAAAAGGTCGATGGAAAATGGACAAAAATAAAAAATTATACCACTAGCCGGGCTCGAACCGGCGACCTTCGACTTAGGAGATCGAAGCTCTTCCTCTGAGCTATAGCGGCTTACGATTGAGATCTCAAAATCACTGATATAACCTAATGGCGGTCTTTTGCCTTAAATAGGATTTCAAAATTTAACCAATTAGAACCTGCTTTACGGCGAAACTTACTGAAATGACTTTTCTTTGAAAAAACAAAATGCCATCAAGTCAAACCATGCATCACACTTCTGCCTTCAAGAGCAACAGTGAACCATCACACCTTGATCTTTTACCCATGTCTTCAATGTCCACAACTATCAGCCAAACTTCACATTTACCAGGAAAATTCTTTTCCACTCAACATTTACTTGATATAGACGAGGGATATGAGATTGAGCATTCCAGAGATGATATATCTTCAGCATCTTCCTCATCAAAACAACATTCGAATAGTAAAGTGATTGATGAACAAGATCTTTCGAATTTCCATTACAGCTACGAAGCAGTTATCACTCACAAACAAATCTATTCGATATTTAAGCAGTTTCTACTAACTAAAAAGATGGAAGAAGCTGTAGAATTCTTGGAAAGCGCCAAACATTACAGATTTATATGTAAACAGTATTTGGTTTCGTCCACTCCCTCTAGTTTCAATCCCCCTTCACTGATTGAAGGAAAGAATACTTCCTCTTCTGTAATTTCCAATGTTTCTCTTTCATCTGTTGAATCCCATGAGGATGAGCTGTCACATGATGGAATTTCAATGACATTTCTAGATGTCATTGACAGTGATGAAATAGCTCACAACGGTGTAATGATTCCACACAACATTTCAGACAAAAATTACGATCGGATGTCTAGCTCTTTTGTAACAATGGAAAAATTCGAAAAGGTTGAGAAAATTGCCAATAGCATTATTGAAACTTTCATTTGCAATATTTCACCTAAAGAATCAATTTACCACACACTTTGAAAGAGAAAACCATCAATTCATTCAAAAAGTGTTTCCAAGAGCATGCCGATAATCCAGAAAACTTGTTTAGAAAGGTTGAAATGTTTATTCACGAATCACTCAAGTTGAATTATTTCCATGGTTTTTTGAAAAGTGACTTGTTTCATAATTACTTGATAAAAAGTGGCAAGACCATTGATATTCTACATGAAATTGGGACCCTCAAAGAAGGTATAGAGTATATGGCTGTTGAATCAATGGCCGATTTGAAAAATCAAAACTTTTCACTTGGTGATTTTGCCTTCCTTAAAAGAAAAGTGTTTTGTGGAGAAACTATCAACAATAGAGAATGGATTTTGGCAGTCAATCAGAAACAATACAAGTGCTACTTTACAAAAGACAAGTATGATTTTGGAAATAGTGTTGGATTGAAATTTTTCAAATTTGAAATTCTCTTTCCTTACAATGTAAAACAAGTTTTGAAAACTTTTACCAATCAAGAATATAGACAAAAGATAGATGAGTACATTTATGATATTCAAACGGTGAAATATGTTGAAGAGCCTCACATTCAAACAAAGGACAAACTCTTCACATCAGTCATAAATCATGAAAAGTACAAACTCATTTGGCCAATCAAGGATCGAGAAATCATTGTCTGCACCAGCTCAGTACACGATCGAGTGAGCAATCTGTACATTATAGGATTCAAGAGTTGTGACTCGTTGTGTTTGGAAGAAAATCCAGAGCACCAATTACACAATGAAAAACAAGAGAAATCCAAAAAGAAAATCATTAAGGCATGTGTAGTGGGCGGTTGGTTCTTTGAATCCCTCTCGGAAAATGAAACTAAATTCCATGAGATTTACTATATTGACATGAAAGGATCCATTCCAAAATTAATGATGGACAAGGTCATTACCAACCGAGCCAGTAAATTCTACAAGCTTGGACTCAAATACTTGAAGGAGAATGAAAGGAATGGTTTTCCAATTCCTCAAAGAGATGCCTACCTCTATCAGCTATTCAAAAAGAATGGTGATATTTATCTGAGATGAACAATGTTATCTTCATCACCATTATGCATCTTTATCTTAACATGATAACATACATGGGACATATCTGCTTTGTTTGATCTATCATAATTCCTTTTCCTTCTCGCTACCACCCCCATCCAACCATGATAATTGGAAAGTTGAATAAACCCTCATCCTCTTCCTCCTCAAGCAGAATCTAACCCCTTAATCTTCCTTAATAAACAATTCACACACCCAAAGAAGAACTCAACATCATCATGACTGCGCACAAACATCCAAAGAGAGATAGAATGATGATCCAGCAACAAATGATTTCACTATTTAAAAAAAGAGTTCACTACACCATTCAGCAGTGTCGCATGATGAAAGATCACCAATATGAAGTAGATGTCGGGGAACAACTCCTTGATGAGAGAAGGCAACCTCATCAAACTCTGCAATATAAAGAGGAGCTTGATGGTTCCTATCCATCCCTTAATAATGGTAGCTTGCAGGCACAAGATGAACAACAACAGGAAGAGATTTTGTCCTCCCCTCTTCCGAGTCAACATCAACAACAAGAACAAACTCAAGAACCTAAATTATACATTAGAAGATGGTTTCAATTAGCAATATTTGCATTATGTATGGTCACTTCTATTATTTGCATGTCGACCTATACAACTTCAGGGTGAGTACTAGTAACAAAAGTAATTTGTGGTGTCCTAATGAAATTGTCCATGCTATTAGAACTCTATTGATGAAGTTTTACCGCCTTGATGCTAATTGGAAGATTAATATGACTTCTTTGGTCTTTTTAATTGCAACTATTCCAATTACTTTTCTAGTTTCATTCGTTCTGAAACGATTTGGTTTAAAATGGAGTGTTTCTATATATTCTATACTGACATGTATTGGTGCATGGATTAGATTAATTGGTATTCAAGTAAGTTTTCATACATTTCACATATCCTTTTTACACATATTCAACCTCCACAATTTGAATGATAATAGGGAAATGAAACTTCATTTTGGCTTTCATTAATTGGACAAATCTTCATTGCATGTGGACAACCATTCATTACTCAATGTGGTGACTTGTTTGGAGTCTTTTGGTTTGGAAATAAGGAGAGAACAGTTGTGCAGGTTGTTGTCTTGTTCTCAGGTGTATTCGGAAGTCTCTTGTCCTATCTTGTTGGACCTCGTCTCATGACCATTGGAAGTGAAAGTGAAGAGGATTTAAAGATTTCAGATTTGGGCCTTGGCATCTTTTTGGGAATTCAAGGAGTAATGGCAACCTTGTGTGTTTTTCTTGTTTTGCTCTTCTTTAAGAGTAAGCCACCTACACCACCTGCTATAGCTCCAGAACCAACCAAAGAAGAATCCAATCCTGGCTTTAATGGTGACCTCACACAATCTCTAACTGAAGGTTCCAACACTGCTGAAGAACCATTATCCAATCAAGACCTTGAAACATCAGCAGCTGAAACCAAACAATCCAAGACAAAACAAGAAGAACCAAAAGATGTTTATCCTCCTCAAACATTTGTCTTTGGTTTGAAAAAGTTGATCCGATTACCATCCTTCTTCATGTTATTAGCTGCTTCCACACTCATCAATTCCTTCTTCCAATCCATCTATATTTTGGAACAAATCATCAAGGGTAACAAGTATACAGCCATTGATTCTGGTAATTTGAATATTATCTTGATTGTCTTTGCTACAATTTCCTCCATCGTGTTGAGTATCCTCTTTGATAAGACCAAACAATTCAAACTCATCACAATCATTACCAGTGCCTCTGCTTGTTTAGCCTTCCTATGGTTCTGTATATTAATGTTGTGGCAGAAGAATGATGTCTTGTTAGTCTTGTCTGGAATGTCCTTTGTATTGATCGGAATGTTTTCAGTACCTACAATGCCATTGTTGAATCAAATGATTGTCTATACGACCTATCCAGTTCATCCATCTACGACCATGACCATTTCAAGTACATTGACTACTTTGTGGAGTATTCTCTTCATGGTTTATATTAATGTGTTGCAATTGTGTACTCCTCTAGCTCCATCAATTATTTTGTGGACAGATTTTGTATTTTTGATTATTGCCTTTGTACTCATTGTTTCTTTCAAGGGTAACTTTAGTCCTGTCTTGGTGAATAGTAAATAAAATTGAAGACCAATCTTTCAGGAACCACAAAAGTTACCGTTACGAATGTTGATGATTTTTTTTAAAAATTTAGAAAAAAAATAAAATATTCTTTAACGAATTACACGTTGATATTTTCCTTCAGGTACATTCAACAGATTTATCTTCAAGGTGTTGAAGTGGGGAATGATACAATGAACAAGTGTGAATTATGTAAAGTCTGTTTTCCTTCAACATGGTGAAAGTTTATTCTTGCTGTTGTTGTTGTCATCCTCTTCGAAGAGTAATTCATCTTGATCAGCTTCGTTCATATCTTCCAGAGCAAATTCGTACCTTTCCAAATCTCTCTTGAGTTGGGTAGAGTTGAATCCATGAACCATTCCACATCCTTTTAATCATCATCATAAGATATCATCACGAATTTTCATCAAATAATAATAACAATATTACATTCCAGTGATGAAGAAGAAAACTTACCAACACAAACATGGAGAGAAACTCCATCACCATCTGTTAATGCTGTCAGCTGTGGAGTTTGTCCAGAGACTGTTCTACCATTTGGAAACTCCAAATACATGCCATCACTGTTACCATTACAAACAAAGATGAATTCGGAGCCACCACAGTGAGCACAGGTCTTGTCGGATGATGTTTTGGCAGATTTTGCTTCTGTTTCGTCAGAGTCTTCACCTAAAGTGGTGGTGTTTTGATTTCTCTTTCTCTTCTTGAAGGTTTCCACATAGTCTACTGGAATAATCTTTAATGATTCGTTCCTGATGGTTGAATAAATATTGGAAACGCTCAGTAAATCACAATGATTGTACAGAGAGACATCATTCAGAAAATCCTTCTTTTCCAAATTGTATCTATCACAAATTCTTTCATAATTCTTGTGAATCTTTTCCAAGTCTGACTTGTAATAGTTTTTGATTAAATGTTGAAGACGAGTAGGATCGTGAGGCATTTTGTTTTGTTACGTAATCAAAAGTTACTACTGTGTCCCGTTGCTTAATTTGGAAGCATCTTTTGAGGCAGGACCATTTGAATTTGGAAGTACATTCGAGGCACAAAGTAGCATTGGTCGGTTAAACTTTGCACATTCATGGATTAATTGTTTCACAAAAATCCAGTATTAAAATATAAGCAATTATTGTTCTTGAGATGTTCATTTCATTCCAAATGAACGTGAAGCGTCGATGGTTTAGTGGTAGAATACGGCGTTGCCATCGCCGTGACCCGGGTTCAATTGTATGTTTGAATGTTCCATATATAGTAAACCGTCTCCCGTTACCCAATTTCATTTTTTTAAAAAAATTAAAAAATTTTAAATGCGTCGACCAGTTTATAACACACATACAACATTCCCAAAAAGGAAAAGCGACTCCCGGTATCAAATAATTAATATTAAATACATTTATTGTTGTTGTTCTTGAATGGTACCTTTCCAAATATGGTGAATCGACTCACGGGTACCCTACTTCAACACATTTACACGTTGTTCATTATTCAATATTGTAAACTATTTAAATATTAAATATAATATTCCTAAAAAGGAATTTCAATTCCCGGTCGACGCAGTCATAACATTAATTTTTAATCATCATAACAATTGAGTCACTCATTGTTTCAAATTGTAACCTAGGCATACCATTATACAATATTCTCAATTTTTGAATTTTAATAATTTATATTGAGCTATATATAAATCAAAGTTTGTACCTCATTTTTTTTAAATGCCTCAAACCCGATGAACTTTTCTAAAAAAAAATGAAACGAGAACTTTTTACTTCCTTACCTCCAGAAATTCTTCTCTTGATAATGAAGTTTATTAGGAATGATCAAGATGATGATTTGGATATTCTTGGGTATCATTGGGATATGTTTAATATGCAATGCATATGCAGGATCTTGATGATTATTTTGATGAGTTTTGGTGGAATTATTTCATGATGAAATTTAAATTGTTTAGATATGAATGTGATGTGGACAAGGAATTGGACATGGAAACCTGGAAAGATGTACAGAATTTGAAACAGAAAAAGGAAATGAAGGATACACTCTATTTCAGACAACACCATCATGAGTTTGAAGCAATTTACAAAATTCTTTCCAATCCAAAGGTTTCAATGCGAAGAAAAGTTTTAATTTCGTGCATGAAGAGAAAATTAAGGATGAAATCCAAACCAGAAAAGGAAATGTTTGCTCTTCTTTTGGGAATTGACAATGTTGGAAAGAGGTGTATTGTGAGGCGAGTTGCTGATGGATTATTTGATAGATCGCCTAATAGGAAGATATTGTCTTCAAGGAGGATAAAATTAGAGATTGATGGTGTAGAATTGACTATTAGAGTTAAAGAACTAGGTACGAAAATATAATTTGAATGTAATTTTAACATTCTAATAATGGAAAAAGATTATTATGAAGTGCAAGACGAAAAGGAAAAAAGAGAAGAAGAAGTTAGGAAAATGTGTACGGAACAGTCGTGTTTCGTGCTTGTTTGTAGCTTGGATCAAAAGGATTCAGTCCAAAGTTTAAACAAGATTCTTTGTGATATAATTCGTTTTAAAAAACGAAACTCTTTTTCGATAGTTTTCGTAATCAACAAGATTGATTTAAAAAGAGGTGAAATTGAGATTTCCATTGAAAATGCACAGAAATCCATTGAAAATCTAATCATTTTACATCGATTACAAAATGCATCCATTGTTAAAACAAGCGCCCTAAAGAGACTAAATGAAACTAAAGTTTTTCAGGAGAGTATCTTATTGGAATGGAATAGAACTATCGATCCAATTAAAATAATGATACTCACTGGCTATACTTGTATTTCACACAGTACTGAAATGCAAAGATGAGAATCCACTTCCAAGTACTCAAATGTTCATGGAAATAATTTTGGGGAACTTTAAACCTGTCATCATCATTATTATATATGTCATGAACATTTGGGTACTTGGAAGTGGATTATTTCATTAAATAATTCTTTGTAAACAGAATTTTAAAAAAAATAAAGCAAGAGATGGACACAACCATGCCAATGATGGTACCATCATCATCATGGCGAGAACCAGTTATTATTCTACTCGATGACCTCTCGGAACCATGCAAGAATTCCAACCTCTACTCACACAATATTAATTTCCACAAATTACGAAAATTCCGATTAATTGATCAATTAGCATTATTTAAAAAAAAGATGGAATATATTGAATGTTTGAAAAAGTGTGAGGATAATTATTCGGTGAGATGTTTTGTGAAAAGATTTCCATTGATTGAAAATAATGATTTTGGATTTATGAAGAAATTGATCATGTTGAGAGGGTGGTTGATTAGATATGCATCACAGCAATTGACGAGTGATAGGCAGTTTATGATGAGTGTGGTGAAGGAGCATCAGGTTTGCTTTCGTTCTGCCAGTAAAGAGTTACGATCTGATAGAGAATTATTGGAAGCTGCTTTGGATTTATCTGAGTGTGGAAATGATTTGCAGAAAGTGAGGAGAAAAATTGATTTTTCTGATGAGGATGAGTTGGGAATTGTTGGATTGTTTAGGTTTACTACAAGAATATTCAAATATGTGACGTGTGAAAAATTGAGAAATGATACAGAATTGAAAAAGAAGGCAAAAGAAATCAAGTCGAATAGGGAATTGGTGTTACAAGCTGTAAAATATTACGGATCAGTGCTCAGATATTCAAATTCAAAATTTAAAGCAGACCCAGAGATAGTAGGCACTGCACTGGAGAATGGAGAGTTGAACGTATGTAAATGGATTAAAAAGGAGATATATTCAGAGCTAGCTCTCAAATTGGTAATGAACAAGGATAACAACAAGCAATTTTCACAACTCTACCAACCACAAGGAGAAGAATTTTGGAGAATGGTAGTTGAGAAGGAGCTATTGCCACCCTCTTTCATTCCAAAACGATTTTTCACCATCAAGGAAGTAGTCAGGTATGCCAAAGATGATTTAGGTGTATTGAAAAATGTTTTTGATGGATCCTTTGAGGTAGATGACGAGGAGATTTTACAAATTGTCACAAGACTCTACCCAAAAGCCCTCAAATATGCATCTGAGAGATTGAGGAGCAATTTAGATTTGATACTACCAATATTGAAGAGGGAACACGAATTGATTGAGTTTGTATCGAAAGAGATTCGTAATTCCATTTCTGTTGCTAAAGAACTTTTATCTAAAAATGGAAGTATATTGAATTTATTTGGTGATTCAATAAGGAAGAATGCAGAATTCATCAAATCAATTCTACCAGCATTTGATTTAAAAACGGCAATGCAATTTCCTAAAGAATTAAGATCTAATCATCATCTTATTGAACTGTTGGTGAGAAGGAGCTATACATTTTTTAAGTGTGCTACTTTGGAATTGAGAGATGACTTTGAATTTGTCAAACAGATGTATGATATTGATTGGAGAATAATAGAGTTTGCTTCTGATAATTTAAAGAACAATTCAGAATTTATGAGATTTGCCACAAGCAGAAATGCTCTCTCATTTGCAAATTTTTCGAGATCATTAAGGGGAAACATTGAAATAATTAAGGAATGTGTAAATATGGCATTGAAACAAGGATTTAGAGAGGAAAAAGTTTATGAGATGATTATTTGTCGTTCTTTTGGAAAGGATGAATTCAAGACCGAGCTTGTCTTACTTCATCAACAGCTCAGGCCACCATCACAAAAGAAACCCTCATTGCAATATGCTCATCCAATGCTATTTTTTGATAGAGAATACTTTATTTCCATCTATGGAGATCATTTCAATGAAAAATTATTGGATTATTATGGTGAATATGCTCTCTATTGCATGGATCCATGCTCCAAATCAGTTAAGGGTACGAATTACTTTTTTTGCAATATGGGAGAGATTTACCTTCCCTTTGTGAAACGGCTACAAGAAGCATCCCTTGCCTACTTTAATTCAAGTCACGTGAATATCATCAAGATATATTCTGGTGTTTTCTACCCATACGACAATTTTTCTTTTGAAATGCTCAATTATGAGGATGAAGATTTACTGGATACAATTTTAACCTCTTGTGGACGTCATGGTAGAATTTTTGCACATGTAGATCCACAAAATCTATCACAGTCAATTATTGCCTCTATTTTACGGTTTCATGAAAGTATTGATAGCCATATTATTGAGAAATTGTTATTGAATTTAAATGATGACACAAAGTTTATGCTTCTCATTTTGAAGAATAGTGGTTCGCTGCTAAAGTATGCATCTGATAGAATAAGAGATACAGAAGAAATTGTCAAATTGGCAGTCAGTTCAGATTCAACATCTTTAGCTTTCGCATCTAATAGATTAAGAAATGATAAGGATATTGTTAGAATGGCTGTTTCATCCTCAGCTCTCAATTTTGCATTCGCATCTGAAGAACTAAGGAGTGATTATGATTATTTCCTTTCCTTGATTACTCCTTCGACACAATCTATCTTGCTTGAATGTTCCAATACATGTGTAAAGAGCAGGTTTTTCATAGATCAACAAAATAAAGTTTAATTCAAACTTAAAGGAATATAGCTGTTGAGTTGGTAAAGTTGTGGTTGTATCTTGTGATAGAGTTCAACACTGAATTGGAAGAATGGAGTGCCGTATTCAGAGTCTTTCACTTGTGAAGAATATCTATATACTACTCTTGTATTGGTTTGAACTCTTGGTTCTCCATGTGAAGTGATACTCAATCTATTTCCCTTTGCATATACAAACTCGACATGATATCCTTGAGCTGAGTATTCATCAGAGAGACAAACCTTTTGGTCAAAGTTGTCTGAATCAAAGTCCACCATATAGCTAAAGTTGTTTTCCAGCATGAAAATACTCTTAGATTCCTCATCCACAATAATATTTTTCAAAGTCTTTTTAGCTTGATCAAAGGTCATGGATCCATACCAGCCATGTTCATTTACAATAGCTTCCACACCCTTTGTTGCAACTAGTGAACAATTAGAAACCAAAAGATTGACGCTTGTCCATGATTTAATGTCAGCCTTCTTCATCTTAATCTTTCTATAATAGCTAATTCCATACTTTTTCTTTGGTTCTTTGAGTTTGATAATTTGAGAAGTGATATTCTTTCCAGCAACTTCAAACATGACAAGTCTTGTTCTAAATTCTGAAGTGTCCAAAACCGAAATCTTGAATCTCTTTCCAGCTGAAATTTTAATATAGAGTTGAGTATTGTCACCATGAGGTGAGAAAGGGAAGACAATAGTCTTTTTTGATGGATCCACATACTTGTTTGGAGATGTGATTTTGCGAGTGAGGTCAGCAAAAGAAATGTGAGCACTTGCTGATACGATAATACAGCACTCTTTAGCTCCCTTGAATGGTTTGAATCCAGATAAGCATTTCAAGACTATATGCTTTCCAAGCCATGTGCCTGATGATTTCAACTCAACAAGAGAAAGTATGGCAGTGCAAACCTTTTCATTTCTCAAAGTATCTTCATCCCAAATTTCAACAAGACAATCTCTGGTTCCATCCACATCTGTACAGAACAAATCAAATTCCCAATCAGGATTTGGGTCATCTTGCACACATTTTGTTTTAAATGTTTTGGTTTGTCCTCCAATAATCGGAACAATAACAACAGCATAGGCATCAATCGAAGATAACAAATCGGCCTAAATGATGATCATAAATTCAATGCAATTAATAACAACAACATCATCATATGGTAAACAAATCAATAGAGAATTTTAAAACATTAAAAAATCAAATTGTGATGAAATTTCTTCTTACCTTTGGAAGATCTCTTCCGCAATGCAAAGTAAGATTAAGGCTAAGCGAGTTCATTTTTTATAAAATTAAAAATACTTAAATTTAATAACAAAATAAATTAATTATCGGGTGATTGGGATATTTGATGAAGAATATGATGATTGGGAAATCATTTAATACAATGAGAATCTGTGGAGCATTTGTAAAAATTATGAGAGTGTCTTAATTCACTTCCAATGGAGCAGGAGAACTTCTTGAAATTTGAGATTAAAATTATCTCTCAAGATTCAACTAAAAAGCACCTCTTGTGGAACAAATTAATATTAATTGTTCAAGGAACGAGATGGACACAATAATACAGTATTCAATTAGTCGATTTTATCTTGGTGCAATTTACTTTGGAGATATATGCATTTTTAAATCCTTATTGAGTATTAAATTTCCATTCCGAAATTATCAACATCAAGCTGAGCAATAACAACATAAAATAAATTCCAAATAAGTTGCTGAATCATTCTTTGCATGTAATTTATTTTTCTTTTGTCCTTATTCTGTTTTTTTATAACGATTTAACTCTAGTAAGACATTACACATCTCAAGCTCCTCCTCCAACACATAACCAACATAAAGAGAGTCAAACGCAAGTTGGATGACAATAACAGAAAAAAAAATCAACAACAACAAGAAAAACAATAAGAACAATTATTTTGTTGTCTATAAAGAATGACTTCCACTTCTTACTCAACTAGTTTAATCGGCTATAGCGCACTCTGGCAATTACTCAAAGGTTTATTGGTCTCCGTGTGGACATGTGTTGTGATGTTGGCTGAACAATCGTATGAAGGTTGTGTGCTGGATTTGAATGGATACTTTTTAATGCATGAGAATATACTTGATTTACATAATTTATATGAGAGGGACAATCAGAGTGTTGGCATTCCTGCTGTTGCTTCTTCTAAGGGTGTTGCTGCCTTACCAAAACCAATTCTCGTCAGAACCAAATCCATTTCCATCTCTCCAATATCAAAGGTTGCTTCCTCTTCAAAACTTCAACCAATCCTGATGAAACAAGCTTCCAATCTTCACTTGACCATTCCAATTATTTCGGTACAACAAGAAGTAGAGCCATCGATTCCAAAACTCAAAAAGAGTCCTTCCAAGTCAATTGTCCACACTACCAACACAAGATTCCATCAAATTACTCCACCAATTTCTCCTCTTGGCAACTTTACATTCCCAGCTGTGAGCTCCAATTCACAAACTCTGTTAGTTCCTCAATTCGAGCTTTTGAATACTCCACCTCCACAACAATCTGCCACCAATCAAGATTTCAAATCCACTTCTTTCCATACTACTAGTAAGAAGAGACTTTCATTTTCTGCCTTCTCATACGAATTTAATTCAACAACAACAACAAGAGGTAGAGCTGCCACCATTCAAACTATTGTTCCAAAGCCAGTCATTGAAATCAAACGAATCAAATCCAACTCTCACATGTAAATAAATACGAATTAATTGATATCAATTTAACCACAAAGAAATTGAAACAGATGTGCATTGCTTAATGTGTGTAGTTTGTTAATAACGAACTCCACGTACATTAAACAAACTGGCTTTCTTCTCAACCTTACACTGCGCTATAAGAAATCTTCTCTGTAGTAGAAGTTATCTCCTCCAATAATTTTCCTTTTCAACGAGGCATTCTTTAAAATTGTTTAATGCACATGTAGAGAATAGTCTTGTGGAGGTGGAATTATTGGTGATGCAAAGTATTAAGATGAAATATAAAGAACCATTCCCTTTGGGGAGCCTATTTGAATTTCTAAATTGGCCAAAAACCTGACAAACGAGGTTTGATGTCAGCTGTAAGCACACAAACAAAAACGCATGAAAGGATCACTTAAAAAAAATGCCAGCAATTAAACCTGTCAAATGCCAGCAGCAGACTTTCAAACGGCTGAGGGAAATTGCTGTAAAATTGTCAGTGCTACTGCTAGTATTCGGCATTTGCAGTCATCAAACATTAATTCCATCGCAGTCAATCGAAGAGGATAATTTTCAAATGAATTCATTGATTCGTATATTCGATTCGAAAGAATACTATTCTATAGTACATAATACCCGACATCAAGCTGACAACTATTTAGATAATTCATCATCCTCTTCACAACAACTCAATAACTCGAGTACTAATTCAACTGTAGATCCACTCAATGGATGTTATACGATTCTTCTAAATTTGGGCGATTTTAGTCGATACGGACCTAATGCAACAGTAATTTATGGGATTTGTCCAGAAACTTGGCTTTCAGTTTCGTTTTCCATTGCAATCATGTTTTTCTATTCCATTCTCTTCATTCTGACATGTTTCGGCTTGTATTGGAAACGAAACTCTCGACACATTCAATCCAGAGGTTTAGTCTACATGTTTCTTACACTATTCGCAAGTGCATTCATTATCTATTCGACCTCCCTGAGATATGCAATTGGTAGGAGAGAATATCCATGTTTTATTTATTCGGTGACCTATTTCGTCTTGCCTCCTTCGTTGATTCTTCCAGCAATTTTTAGATGTTATCGATTGGTATTGCTACACTTGTTGAATTTGAGAAAGATGAAAATGTTGATTGGTGGAACGGTTGGAAAATCGACAACGAATTTGGAATCTTTAGCTCATAAGATAACTAAAAAAGGAAATGGCAAGTCTAGTAATAATACAACAACAAATACATCGACAAATACAACCATTGTGGAGGCGTTTCAAAATAATGCAGATGTGCAGTCGAATGGAGTTATGAATGAATCGAGTGGAGCAACTAGTCCAGTTTCGAATATTTCAATAGATAGTTCAGTAGCATTAACAAGAAATGAAAGTAGCAACACTTCCCCTAGGGCATTTCTTAAAAAGAAATCAGCTAGTAACTTCTCCTTAAAAGACGTTGATCGGTCTGTCAAAATGGTGGATTTTGATGTTACTGAATATTCAATGGCAGATGACGATGTCAAATCATACACATACAGTGATGGGTTTTCTGTAGCTAGGGAAGATTTTGAAAAGGAAATGAAACGAGCAAAGGTGTTAAACTTTTTCGTGAGCAACCTCTTTATTGTACTGTGCTATTTCATTATCTTTTCACTTCATGTTATTCTATTTCTCATAATGGGTGGAATTGAATGGGATCAGAAATTGAGAAAGGGAACGACCATCTTTACTAATGATGGTGGATTATTCACTGTGGAGAGAGGATGTGGCATTACCAATTCAACTTTTATATTGGTTGGAGTTGAAACATTTTTCTACATTGTTGTTGAGGTAATTCTCATTATTTTGTGTATAATTGCAGATAGAGATACGTGGAATATGAGAAAGGAAACACTCGTTTTGGTGTTATTGAAATTATTGAGTATTGTGATATTTGTGGCGTTTGGTTTTATTCCAGTATTTTCAAAATTTTTGGATTTTTTCATTCCTTATGGAAATGTGTTGCTGTTTTACAGTATTTCGGATGTGGTGATTAGTATAACATTGCCAATAGTGTATGCTTGGTTATCGGATAAGAAACATGTGGATTGGAATCAAGATTCTGGATTGGAACAATGTTTGGCCAATAAGAAGACCTTTACGATAATATTGGACTTTGCCAGAAGGTCTTATTGTCCAGAACCGATTCTCTGCTACAAGGATGTGGAAAGGATCACCAGGACGAAACCAAAAAACAGAAAGAAGATTGCAATCCACATTCAGAAAACCTATTTAACGAAAGGATCACCTCTTGAGTTGAATCATCCTAAATTGGACGAAATTTATGATGAATTACAAGGGTTAATTGATTCANATGCTGATCTTTTGCCATTCTTCAGAAAAATTCAACTTCACTGCATGAATGATATGATTGACATATTCGAAAGAGTGAAAGAAAC